ATACATATATAATGGAATTAAAAAAGATATATACTAGAACTACCAGTAAAAAGAAACGCAAAACTGAATTAAACGAATTAGATGATAAATTTATTCTTAATAGTTATCCAAAAATCCTTTTAAAAAACTGGCATACACAATACTACAATAATAGATTTATAACAAAAAATAAGAAAGATAAAAATTACAAACCCTTCCCTTACATAGCTGATATTTATAATAATAGCTCTAAATGCCTTAAAAAAGACAATATAATTTTGGCCCCATCTTTGACCAATAAAATTTCAAATAAAATCTCAAATAAATTAGGAAAATACAAAACCAATACTGATAAATTGAAAAAAACTGGAACTGTTTACAAAATTAATTGCAACTGTCAAAATCCTAAAGAATACATAGGTGAAACGGGTCGAACTTTGGAATTACGGATAAAAGAACATGAAGCTGCCATACGGTTAAAACATGATAATTCACCTTGGTATAACCACATCAAAAATAGTAACTGCAAAATAGATAGAAATAATATTAAAATCCTACACTGTGAGAAAAATATATATAAACGTAAATTCAAAGAACATATAGAAATAATGAAATACAGTGGTAATAATTTAATAAACATTTCCAATGGCATGCAAATCGACCAGCAATGGTATAACATGATAGGGGGCGCAACAAGTCAATAGTTTATATTTCTAAGATTATACATTGTCGTGAAAATTTTATTGTATGTTGAACCTTTTTAAAGTTTATACAACGTATACTACTCTGTTATTGTTGTGACACTTTTAAAGAAAAACATGTATGTATTTTTTTTAGTAAATATTTTTTTAAAGGAAAAAATTTGTTATAAATAAGTGATTTAAAATGTTACTAATAATTATAATTTGTAATTAGTTGTGTAGCATAATGGTACGGATTTCGATGTAAAACACCCTTAAGAGAAAATTATAAATTTGAAAACATTGTAAATTGATAGTACAAGTACTGTAAAAAAGATGAAAGAACATGTGGGAAATCTTAAGGTATTATAAAGTGTCTTTTTATGTATTGTAAGCATTTTCTACTATAAAGTTGTTTTGTGTAAATTCAATATGAATTTGTTTTGTAGCACTGAAGAGGGGCAGGAAAATTAAACTTGCCCGAAATGCATATGTGAAAAACAATGAAGGAGATTTTTAACCTGTAGAGCTGTGAGAAAGTCTACCGAAATTTTGTTCGGATTGAAGAGACATTTACCTATATAATACGTAATACAGCTACCATTTGAAATTCAACAATAAAATTATATTATAATTACTTGCCATATTCGATTATCACCTAACGTGGGACACATGTTGCCACCTTTTCGAAATTGCTGCCCCGGACATCTTAAAATTAGAATGTTATACTGTACTGTACTAGAAATTAAAAAATTAAGTTTTTTTATTGTGAGCAGAAAATAAATATTTTTTATTAGAAGGTAAAAATGTACTGTACATAATATATTATTAACTAGCTGTTACCCGCGGCTTCGCCCACGACGATTTTGCAATTTGATTTCATGAATGTGTGCATTAACTTGCGCTTTCACAGCATATAAATTTTCATTCATAAAACCACGTAATGAATCCCGAAACGTAACTATCTGAGCCATGGAGGACGCCATGTTGCTTTGTTTGTTTTGGAGAAATTTGTTAAACGGATTCCGCTCGCGCGGAGTAACGCTGAGGAATAAAATAACGCATCTCCCCGTCCCTCACTACCAGGCCTCCCCACTATCCCCTCCACAGCTGCCACAGTATTTTGTGGTAGCGCTAGTGAAATGTAAACAATATGAGTACGAATCGAGGATAAAAAGTGTAGATATATTTCAAACTTTATATTAAACAATGGTTTGATATTACTCTGTGCCCCGGTGCAAATGTAAACAGTGAAATTATTATAATAAATAGAAACTTCTCTTTTACAAGTTTTCGGTACAAACAGTGGCGTACCGTGGGTGTCAGCCGCCCGGGGCGGAGGAAAATTTCGCCCCTCTTATTTAGGTATTTCAATTTAAAAGACCAAAATTCTAGTTTTGTCACAGAACAAGCAATGAAAAATTCGGTGGTAGTGCAGCGACCTGTTTATTAAAATAGTTCTATTTGATATTAGTGGTGTATATGAACGCGAATGAATCGTACAAGCAAATAAAAAAAAGGTTACCAGGTTTCGCAGGAATTTCTCGGATGAAACAGCTACTAGTCATCAGGCGAGCCGATTCCCGAACTGTCCGGACGATAGGATGTTTCGAATTTTTACAAGATGATATTATTTATTTTCCTATTCACACTCAGATTCTTTAACATTATAAAGTCAACACACCTTACTACCGAGAAAGCACATTTATTAAGCTAAACAAACGTTTTCAACCCATTTCATGGGCCATCATCAGGTTAAAGACGTTCGAATGAATGGCTTTTCGAACACGCTCAAATTTAAATTATATTAGAACATACGTTAAAATAAGGTTACGTAAACAAGCATAACGAAATTAATACAATAAACAAGAAAAACAAAATAAAATAAAATAAAATAAAATACAAAATACGGTAATTCTCCTTAATACAATACCAGTTGACCCCCCTATAACACAGTTGATTATTCTGTTTTATATGAATTCCATGTTGTACGAGTCACTTAGATTTTACAAATACGTGAGCCGTTTACAGCCCGGCACACGTATTTGTAANTAACACGGCAATTTTTTGGAACGTAACTGCCGTGTTATACGGGGGTTAGCTGTAATAAACCTTGCTTCTCACTGATGATGCAGTATTAACTCGCATTGACTTTCAATGGAGAAAAATCCATGCAATCCAGTGGAAAGAAATTTCTAGCATGTTAAACCTGTGGATGAAAGTAGCTCAATACCAAGATGCTGCCAGAGAAAATCCCTTTCAATACTTGGTCACTTTTGTTTTAAAATTTTTTATTACCTCATTCAAACGCAGAAGTAGAGTGTTTGTTTAGTCAGATGAATATTGTTAAAACCAAACTGCGGAATAGATTGAATATTATTTCAATCCGTAGCATATTAACAATTAGATATGGTTTGAAAGGATTAGGAAAATGCAACAATGATTATAAATTGCCAGCAAAATTATTCAAAAAATAGGCACTATATAAAATTATACCAAAATTTTCAGTTTGAAGTAAGACCATCTTTTGAACATAATGAAGAAATTGAAGAAGTAATGGAATTTAGCGACGAATAGATGTTTTGAATAAAGTTAAAAATAAGTTAAAAATTGAAGGTTGGTTTTTATTTTTCATTTAGCTATTTTTTTAGCGAATTTTGAAAATTTTTTTAGCTATTTTTAGAGAATTTTTTGTTTGCTTTTAGCTACTTTTATTTTTTTTAGTTGGCAACTCTACTTGAGACATAAGATTCTCAAGGCCATTGCATCCATTACGCCGGACATCTCGACCAAATTATGGGGAGAACTGGGCCGTGTTCAGTAACGCAGAACACCTAAGTTAGAATTCTGAGTGGCTTAGTTGGCGGAGCTAAGAATACATAAAAGAAGCTAGTGGTGGGAGGAGTCAAGCAGTAGTTAGAAACGAGTTCAACATTGCAGCATAACTAGACTACCTTCATCTGTCCGCGATGGGAATACTACATCCGGTTGAACGGGCTAGGCATGTCATACGCCAAAAAACTCGGAGAAGCCCTCAGAGACGCCATCCGGAAATACGTCGGTCTTCCCAAGCAGACTGCACGTGCCACTTTCCACTCCCTCCCTGAGGATGGGGGGGCTCAATATCCCCGACCCCTGGACTTGGTGCTGCGCTATGCAAATCTCTCACATCATCGACCTTCTGAATTGCGACGATGCACTAGTCCGCAGCGCCATCCGTGACGAAATTCTCCTCCTAATAAAAACCAGATACCACCCATCCCCCGACGCCTACACCGACGAAGATGGCTCGATTCTCGATTATCTTAATAGTCACCTGGAGCACAGAAAGCGAGCTAACTTCATCGACTGCTCCGATCCGACCACTATGATCCTGAATTACATCCGTGATGCCAACGTACGGATCATGCTTCAGGAAGGTCACTTCCGCATCACCCAACCTGATGGCAAAGAATTTCGTAACCGCTATCGGAACACCATAAGCAAACAACTTAAAACCCTACTGAAATCATGCATGGCAGACGACTGGTGTAGCAGTGAAAGGAGCCAAGGGAAAGCCATGGCTACGTGTAGAAACAGTATTTCAAATATCTGGATCAACTCTCCCTGCCTATCAAAAGGCACCTACGCCTTCGCCTTAAAAGCCCGGCTAGATCTTCTTCCCACCAAAGCTAATCTTTTTCGGTGGAAGAAATCCCCCACCAGCCTCTGCTCCCACTGTGGTGAACCAACGCCACCTAGGAATAAAGCCTCCAAACGCTTTCAGCAACCTCGTGTGACGTCACTACTAGCGGTCCTTTCTAACGACTGTTTCCAACTCGTTGTGTTGAACACGTTGTTTTTCAGTCTTTTGTTCTTCGAATTGGATTTATTATTTACTTTAATATATTTATACTTTCACCATACTTTCTAGCTAAGGTTTTTTCAGGATAAACGATATGCCTCGAAAGTGTTGTGTACCAGCTTGCAAAGGGAACTATGCAACAGGACCAAAAGTTAGTGCTTTTAGTTTCCCTTCAGATGAAGTTTTACGGCAGAAATGGATATCTGCGATTCATCGATACAACTTTGTACCTACAAAACAGTCAGTGGTGAGTAATTTAATTCTTTTTTTACCTTTTAAGATGGAATAAACCTCATAAGCAGGCCTTTTTTAACTGGTAAACAGTACTTTAGAATAGCTTACTTTGTTTTAGCTCATAATGGTTTGTTAATAATAAGTTTGTTTCTTTAATGAGAGAGAGATTCGTTTTAAATTGCTTTGTTCATAAAAATTTATGTCAATCTCTATCTATACAAATGCTTTTGTTTTAGATATATTTAATTTTTAAAACATTTATATGGAATGGCTATTCCAACAGGGAAGATCCAAATTAGAAATTAGCAAGTATAAATTAAAGCATGTTCTGCTTAGTCTATACTATAGAGAATATGCAGAATATGAATATGAATACTTTAATATATTATTATTTGTATTTATAAACACGGAAGTTCAGAAAGTACAGTACAGTACATACAATTAGGAAATGGAAATGTATGAATTAGAATTAGTGACTTTAAACATTAACAGGAATTAATACAATGCTTACTTTCAGGTATGTGAATTACATTTTCACTCAGATGACATTGAACGAACCACAAGTATGTATGACCCAAAAAGTGGAAAACTTCTTACTGCACCATTAGAACGGCCAAGAATTAAGAAAGGTAAGAAATATTTTAAAATTAAATTTTACTGCATGTGATTGTCAGAGTGATTTTTTTTATTAATCAAGTATCATTTGTCACCTGATTTATTTAAACTGTTACTTGTTTATTTTTAATAGGTGCTGTTCCTTCATTATTACCAGGATGTCCTTCATATTTATCCAAGCCAGCCAGTAAAAGAGAAAATCCAGAGGATCGACGACAGCGCTTGGAGAATGCTTTCCTTAGTAATGCAATGGAAGAAAGCATGGAGTCATATGCTAAACTAGAG